TAAGACGGAGGGCAAAACACAGGTGGAAGTCTGAGTCCTCTGAAAGAGCCAGAAGCAAACCGAGCCACCACCCAGGCACACCTTGGGGCCTTCAGTGAGCTCTCAGGAGGCCAGAGAGGCCAAATATACAGCCCAAGGCAATTATGCCTAGCCCCCAAGTCCATATACCCATGTTTCATGCTCTTGTGCTGTGTTCCAGGCTCAGTCCTCTGCTTGGATGATGCTCCAAGTAGCAGATGTCCCCCCACCCCCTTCACCGCCTCCCCCATCACAATCCTGTCTGAGGACCTGCATCTCAGCTGGGCTGCGAAGAAAGCCTGTGAATGCAGGAATTCAAACCAAGATGTGCATGATGGATGGCCTCCCAGGGCTATTCGTATTTTAAAAGAGGAGCCCCTCTCTCGGAGAAACCCCTCTCTAAAGACAGGCTTCAGATGTAAGGAGGCAAGAAGCCAGGCCAGCTGTGCGGAGCTGTAGTCCAGCCAAATGACTGAATGTCTGCTTTCAGGAGGTTTTGTGGAGCGGCGGCAACCTTCCACCTCTGCGGGGAGCACTCCCGTTTCTCCCAGTTTCCATCAAAGGTCAGAGAGAGAGAGAGAGAAAAAGAGACCCTTTAGTTCAGGCACCACATACTGAATATCAACTCTATGAGCCTGCCATGGACAGACATGCATATTCTATCTGCTGGGAAAAGAGCTGTTCGAAAGCATCTGGGCTCTAAAGGACACTTCTCAGATAAAGACCATTTCTTTGTTAACTGCAAACCAAGCAGCTTTATTTCCCAACCCAAGTGTCCATTAACGAAGCCTTAGGCCTTCTCGGGTACCCAGTGTCATCTGCCCTTTTTATCTTGTGTGCATACACCCTGGAATCTGGGCATCCTGGCTCGCTGCAGGGACCCTCAGATTCCTCACCAGCCCTGGGATGGATGGGAACTGTCCCCAGGAGGCAAGGCCACCACTGGACCACAGGCTGCTTCCCCCAAGTTGCCATTTATTTCCACTGGGCCCAGGGCTCCTTTCCAGGCCAGTGTTTTCAGGGCTGAATTTCCAGAAAAAAGAATTTTTTTTAATGGAGGTACTGGGGATTGAACTCAGGACCTCATGCCTGCTAAGCATGCGCTCTGCAACTGAGCTATTCCCCATCCCCCATCCCGCAGAAAATCTTCTGTAAAAGGAGATGGACCACCTAGCTTTGTGGAGACTTACTCTATTCCTGGAGCCTGATGACAGAGGACCTCTTAATGATTAGTTCCGGAACGAAGAAATGGTCAGTCTCATTAAATCGGCATCAGTATTTAATATAAATATATTGCATTTGAAAATCCAGCTTAATGTCCTGAGTATATACACTTACTTTTCTTCAAGTTTCAATGAATAAGGCTTCAAGCATGACATCATGAGACCCAATTACACAAAGGACTCTTGACAGGCTCATTACTTTCTCGCCACAGAACAAACTTGCTTTGGGATGTTCCAGCACCGTGTCTTTCCGTCTCCAGGTCAAGCTCCAGTTACCTTTACTAATGCTTCAGAGCTGCATGCAATTCAATAAATCCAAATATTCTGAGACTCCTCTAGGATCATTCCCACCATCTTTGGAGTCAGAGTTTATTGACAAATACTCTGGTTGTTCCTACGGGGGAAGAGCTGGCAGCTCCAAAGCCCTTTCACTGAAGCCTGTGAGAAAAGGGGAGAATCAGGGTGCCTTTGGCACCTGCTGGGGACGCGGGCGGTGGGGGTGGGGAAGGGTGAGGACCACACATGGTAGCTGATGCTCTTTAGTGCTGACAGGTCCCTTGATGAAATTTCTGAGAGCAGAACACGACGTTCTTGCCACCTTCTGGACCCAAACCACCTTAAAAGAGTGTTATACTTTGCTCTGAGTGGCCAAATTCTGCAAGTGCCACTCAGTTTTAAAATTATGTAACCCTGGCATTCCAAATGCACGGCTGTGCTGGAACAGATGCGGTCTCTGTTTGAAGGGGAAAACCCCAGACAGTGCTTAGTCTCAAATAAGGAGTGTCAAATCACTCTCATCTTGAGAGTTTGCTTGGCAAGCACTTTTTTTTCTCCTCTGGAGGAGATTTTTGTTTACAGGATTTAACAATTAAAAAAAAAAAACCACATACACAATTGTGCATTGTTCAGCCGTGACCCAAAGGTCAGCTCCCGGCACGCAGTAGTTTTCCAATTCCTGATCCTTTTTGATCCCACCGTGCAGATTAGCACATATGAAATTTGATTTCATGGCAGCAAAATGCAAAGCAAGAGACAGAAGTGGGCAGAAATCTTGTGAATCTAGATCCAACAGACATATCTGTCCAGCTAAAGCCCTTCTTGTCCAATTCTAATGACACTTAAGTAACTTTTCAGAATGCTTATTCAGTAACATTTTTTAGCTAGGGCAACTGACACAGGGGCCAAAATCCTCTGTACCATCAGGGCAAAAATGTGTGTGGGGCTGAGATAAAAATACACTGGATTGATGTGTCCTTTGTGAGACATACGAGGGACAAAGTCAGTTCACTGGATGAGATGAAGGCATGTGGGACTTCAGTCCTGAAGATCATTCTGTCCAACCCTTTTAATTCACAGATGAAGCCATCGAGACCCACAAGTGACAAGCCCAAGTTTGCCCAGGGAGTTAATGGCTGAACAGTGTCTAGAACGTCCCTCCTACTGACTAATTCTACCTAGAATCTTGAGTTCCTCCCACTGTAACGAGATGGAACACTGGGATTACTTCCCATTACCTGGAGCACTTTTGCCACAGCAAGCCTTAGAAAAAAGGTAAAGGAAAGGCAACAGAGAAGAACATTATGGTATAATTCTGGCCAGAAATGGGTAGTCAATTAGATTCTTCATATAAGTATTTTGAAAAGCCATATAGGTTAATTGGTTGGAATAACTTTTTTTTAATTCAAGTATAGTCAGTTTCCAATGTTGCATCAATTTCTGGTGTACAGTATGTTTCAGTCGCACATATACATACATATACTCCTTTTCACATTCTTTTTCAGGTTACTATGAGATACTGAATAGAGTTCCCTGTGCTGTACAGTAGAAACTTGTATATCTGTTTTATATATAGTAGTTTGTATCTGCAAATCTTGAACTCCTCATGGAATAATTTTTTTAAAGTGGACATTTTATTTCTTAATAGGATGAAGAAACTATGTACAATTTACTAAGTACAAGTGGACATTCGACTACTCCTGAGATGCAATTCCAGAAAAACTTTGTAGGCACATGAGATACCAGCTTAGACTTGTGAAATATCTCTTATAATCGTGATTGTTGGAAACAAAGAGCGAGAAATGCAATGAATAAGCAGCTATTCCTCTTGCTCCCCTGGTCCCTGCTCTGTTCCCTGAGGAATTTCATTTGGGCTGATCTGACAGGCACAGGAAGGAGCCAGGTGGACCGAGGGTTTGGAGCGTCTGGAGCTGCCTTTCAGGAACACTGACAATGCTGTTCATGGAAAACAACTTCTAAATGCCTTTCAAAGCCCTAGAGTTTGTTTGGAGAGAACCTCGCTGGCATTGATGGATGTCTCCGCCTGACAGCTCACAGGGAAGGGTGTAATGGACAGAATTACAGGATTCATTCCAAACGGGTGCTGGGCTCGAGTGCTCCTGCTCCGAACCACTTCTTGTGGTTGCGTTTGGGCTGCCCCCGTGTAGGATGAGGTCATTTTGCTGGAGCACACAAAGGATTCCAGGGGGAAAACACATCATCTACGGTGGCGATTTGGGGCATTCATTCCTCCTGGCTGCTCAGGATAACAATGAACCTTCTCAGCATTACCCGGGCTCACTGCAGAGACCAGGATGGGTTTAGATGCCATCAGTGGAATCCCCCGAGGCACACAATGCGTTTATTATAATGTCCTGGCCCTGAGAAGGGCCTGGGAACAGCTTGGAGTGGCCTATAATTAAGTACCTTGAATAATAAAAGCACAGCTCCTTAGGTATTGCAAGAAGTGAAAATAACCCTGCATCTTCTCGCTCTCTACGCCCCTCCCCCACTACCCTTCTCTTTTACAAATCAGAAAAACCAGGAGCTATATGTTTTTTAAAAATAACTTTTGCAAAGGATGTCTGGCCAGTGGGGAAAGGGAAATTAAATTACTTGAGAACATTCTTTCCATGTTAAAAAAAAAAAGGCTTCTGCTTACTCAGGCAGCTACCCGTGGGGAGGATTTGTGAAAAGGCTGTTCTGTCAATCACTCTTGGATTCAGCTTCCAAAGGCTTTTCAGGGGCTGTGACCTTCCAGCAAAGGGGGGTCCCTAGGGGTTAAGCTGCCACTTGGACGGGCACTTCCTTAATTCGCTGCTGTGCCCGGGAGGGAGTGGATAGACGGGTCCCTCCGGCAGTGTCCTGTGTCCTTGGTTCCCACACCCTCCTGTGAGCGCTCACGTCGTGCAGAGGGTGTTGGGGGACCAGGAAGAGACGAGAGCTGTAAGAACTGTGGTCAGTTTGCAGCAGGAGGAACAAGAAAAAAAGCACCAACAGCTTGATGTCTAGGTTTGCAAGAATAAAGAAGCAAGAGAAGGGACAGCCGAGTCCAGCTCTGCCCCTACCTGGCTGTGAGCGCAGCTGATTCCCTTACACTTCTGTGAGCCTCAGCTTCCTCACTGGTAAAATGAGAATGTTACCAGTACAGTGGGTAGTTAGTCAATAGTCTCATATTGGGGATCTTGAGAAAGTGACTTAAGTTCTCTGAGTCTCACTTTCCTTATCTGTAAAATGAGATTAAAAACATTTACATGCATTGTTTTAGGGCTGGAATGATGTATGAAATCACTGAGCACACCTGTACACAGTCATCAGTAAATGCTAGTCAGTCACTGTCTCATTGTTACTATTAGTAGTACTTTTGTTATACATGCAATTCCATTTCTGAAGGTTCTGGTTGGATTGAAGTTGTTTGCATCATTAGATGATTCAGTACACAGAGCAAGTGTCTGTCTAGAGAAATGAGACAAGCCACACAAATTCACTGGGTAATCCTGCACTGGAAATCTGATTGCTGTTATTTTTTTTGACAGTTGACAGGGAGATGGGGCGGTGAGACAAATGAGTGTCATCTTTTCTTCTTTGATATAATTCATGAAAATGAAATGAATCTGTACAGTTCCACTATGGATGGGTGACTCAGGTAATGTTATTAACAAGACTAGTTTTTCCAAGTCGTCACTAGAAAGCACACACACACTGGTGCCCCCGGCATTTCGGACTTTGACATGAATGATGAAGAGAAACTTGTTATATGGTTGGGGAGAGACTGACTTCCGCTGAAGCATTTGAAAAAAATGACTTGAGCCTGTTGATAAGTAAAGGTCAGCCCAAGAGAGGTGGAGGGAGATAAGGTACACTCTGAAAAAAAAAACAAGTCTTAAATATATATACACAAACACACCATATATACATACATATATATACACATATATGGTGTGTATACACATATATGGTGTGTGTGTGTGTGCGTATATATATATTTACAGCTAAAGAAATCTCCAGTTATCATTTAGTTCAAACATACTGCCTTGTTTTCACTTTGCTTTAAGTAAAAACATAAACATTTGTTATTTTGAGCATGACGTTTTGGACACCAAAATGGAGTAGTGTGAAAACTTTGAGAAGCACTGAAGAATGAGAAGAAACAGGAAACTCAAGGCAAGACATCCTTTACCCTTTCCACTCCTAGCAGAATGGAGTATAAGACATTTGCTCTTTATTATTTAAAAAGCCTTTTAAAAGTCACGTAGGAAAGGATGCGCTCCAGGGATCTTCTGATTCCTTTTGGTTTTGGCTAAGAAAATGACATCACTGAGAAAAGCCAGTCTTTTATAAAATATTGCTGTTGACATGACTTCTCAGTGGGTTAAATACTATAAGATCATTGTTTGTTGGGCAATACAGAGTTAGGGAGAAAATAAAAATAACTACTGAACAGAAGCTGGTTGGGTGGGTCTGCCCAGACCTGGATTTCAGGGTCAGAATGTGGCATCGAAGGCTCAGTTCGATGGGGTCACTTTAGTTATCCTAGGTGACCAGGTGATGTGTTAAGGTAAAAGCAAGGTACTCTCTTTCCCTCAGATTTTTGGAAACAGACCACGCCCCATAGTTCTCAGTCTTCGTTTAACCCTGACCTTTCGTAAAACGCAGGGCAACTCGCTTTCTCTAATGACTGGTAAACCCGTCAGTGGTTGCAGATTTCCGTGCAAGGGCCTCCCTCTGGCTGCTTGTCTGAAAGCCGATTACTGAGCAAGTACAGGAGGCCCAAGAATGCCAGCATCACCCCCGCCATTGCATGGGTGCACTTTAGAGACGTTTTCTTCAGAATACTCTTTCTTTGGATCTGATTTCAAATCCCAGGGTCATCAGGGTGGTCGAGGGCACATCTTAAACACTGGACAACATGGTGGAGGTGAAAATCTGCTGTAAGATCTGAGGGATATCCTTGGTATCCAAGGCAACGAAAGACCGGCCAGCTGGTAAAGTTCTCTGAAGCCTGTGAGGATGGACAGGGGAAGAAAATTACCATTGCAAATCCGGGCTCCCCTTCCACCTCCTGCCTCTGCAAACCACAGCATCCTAATGGTTCCTTCAGAAAGGAAGTTTTTACTTTTTAATACCTTGCCCTTGCCTGCAGCTGAATAGGCGGTCACCAGGCAACGGGAGGCTTAGAAGAGGAACAGGGAGAGCCATGCTGAAAGCGGCGAGCTGAAAGAAAGGTCTTTTCGGTGGGAAAATCAGCAAATTTGCAAAGAAAAAAATTTCCCCATTACTCCTGTCATTTCCTGGTATTTTATATTCCCGTGACAGCACAGAGCCCTAGGGACCAAGCTGGGGTCAGCTCACCTGCATCCAGGGGAAGTGTCCGCCTCACAGTGTCCCTCAAACTGCTTTTCCTGCCTTAGATATAACAGGCTTCGAAAAATGTCGCCCAGCCAAACCCCAAGTGGTTCTTTCTCTCTCTCTCTCTTTTCCCTCCCACATAATACAATGTGGAATGTAATCTGATTTATGCAACTGCTGCTTCGATGACACTGAGGTTGTCCAGGCTTATGATAATTTTTTTAAAGGCCAATTTCTCATTTGGAACAAAGGGCCATTTTTGGAGTACTTTTCTTGTACAGTTGAAAAGTACAAGACACAGTGCTATCCAAAAGAACGCCTCCTTTCACTGTGCCAACAAAGTTTGGTTTTGGAATGACATTTAATAAAAGTCAACCATCCTGTGTAGTATCATACACTTGGCATGCCCGGTAGACCAGCTAATTCCGCAACATATCTTTTGCCAGTGGATGTTGGATCATTTCCCTAGGAAACCACAAGGGTATTATTGTGCTTTCTTAAGTATTCAAACAGGATCTGTTCACTAGAAAGACAAAATAGCTATTTCAGCTCGACTGGGATTTGTTGAGCTTGCTCCCCCCGATGAATACTGGGCTGGACCTGAAGAAAATCTGAGGGGAAAAGGCATGGTTTGTGTTCGAGGACATGGAAGTTCTCAAAGAGGCTAATGCACAGAACTGAGAAAAATGCAAAGTCAGCTGTAATAAAGTGACTGTAATTACATGATATTAGGTCTCTTCTTAACCGCATTATGCAGTCCTGCAGCAAGGCGAAGGGGGCAGAAAGAGAAAAAGGTGCCAGCACTTTGGATACTAAGCCGCTTCCTGGTCTGTACAGGACTCTCTCCCCTAGGGCGTGACGGGAAAGAGGTGGAGTGACAAGAGCGGACGTGGCCTTTTGTGTTTTGGGCAGGATTTCTTCTTTCCTTTGACAGATACACTTTCACTTGTGTTTTCTGCTTCTTACAAGTACTTTAAGCAGAGAAAAAAACATGAGCTCTTTCTGTTTGTAATTCAGAAAGATCAGTGTCAGGGTGTTTCAGAAAAGAAAGTGTTTCCAGAGCTCTCCTTTCAGATGAGCCACAGTGGTATTTTTTATCTGATCATAAATTTCTCTACTGAATATTCAGTGTATTTAGTGTAGCATCTAAACTATATATACATGGAGGGAGAAATACAAGAAGGAAGATCATCTACCTGTGTCTACATGTATGTGTCTGTGTATATGCAGACACACACATCACATATCATTTACATATATGTGTGTATTTGCCTACATACAATACATAGACACACACCCCCGATCTCTGACGTGGGGAAAATAGTAAAATGTGCGCTGCTTTGAATATGATTTGAACATGAACTGAATAGAACTGAGCCTGACACCTTGATGTGAAAGGGCAAAATGTATAAAATACTGTTTCATTTATTGGTGGACAAATCAATTTGCTATATGCTTTATTGTTGGTTAGTTTAAAGGTAAACCTAAGACTAAAAACTTAAAAGTGTTAATGCTCATCCAAGCATAAGCTAGACCATGACATCCCTCACTTAGACTGTCAGCTGCCTGAGGGCAGCAACCCTAGTTTCTGTCTTCCCTCCACCTCCCCCAGTGCCCCTCACCACAGGAAGCCCATGAAATGACAGGTGTCAGGTACTCAAACATCCCCATATCTGCTCTTTGCTGTATCCTGAGATGACACTCACCTGGTTGCTTGATCACCTAAAGATCCAATAAAAATGGCAAAAGCATTTACTTGAGGGTTGCTTGTCAGGATCTGGGCAAACCTGGCAGGATGTATCCCATATCGTGACAGGTTCGCGTCACTTAAGACGATAACGAAATACTCGTCAGCTTCCTCTTTGACGATTTCCTTGATGGCGTGTTCTGTCCCCTCTAATGTGTGGTCCCCACTCATGCAGAACTGAGCGTGGGCATGCATTGTCTAGGGGAATTAGATGTTGCACAAAAGTCATGAATGAGAAACTCCTTTTTTCACAAACATGATAATTCTTTCTATTGACAATGAGAAAGCACAAATACCAATGATTACATAGGAACAAGAAGTCTCTGAGTGAGTTCTATTTAATTTGCACCTTAAGAGTGACAACAGTCCACAGTGATATTTGTAAGTGGTTAAGACTTTGCATTAAAAACAGGAAATGTTACAAAACTATCCAAGTTGGCACTGCTTTTTAAAGCTCAAACTGTCATTTAAAGTGAGAAGATGGAAGAAAATATGAAACTTGGTATCATCCTAGAGCATGGAGATGACATAGGGAAAAAATAAGGAATGGGTTGAGTTTCCAATAAACAAAGCTATAATCCTAAACACTGTACTTACATCAACAGCAATGGAAGAAATTTACTTTAAAATCGTGGTGTGTTTCTACAGTAAGTAGATCTAAGTATGTGAAACTGTATCAGCATTAGAAAAAAACTGATACATAAAACTGGGTTCCAGAGTAGTCTTAAAGGGGTCAGTCATTCTTTTCCTTCTGAAATATCCAGGGGCTGAGAAGAAATATATAGGATATAGATGGGGACCCACATCGTAGAATCCTGATATAATCCTGAGTACCCTGCAAATATGTAGGGAACAAAGTTTAAATTTTATATGGTGTAGAAAGGGAATGTAGGCATCGTAAGTGTTTTTCTACTTTAATGCTTAAATGTTTGTGAAACAGAAAGACTCCCCCCCACCCCTGCCCCGTATCTGCTGCTTCCTCAGTGAATCTGCTCGGTGACTAGAAGGTACTTTACCTAATCTGGTGGAAGTTTTCACAGTAGAGAGGTAACTGAATGTATTTACCTTCAGAATTTCTAGTCTCTGCTTATTGTCCTTGGGGATTTTGTTAATGGGAACTAGATCAATGTTGTAGCCATCTCCAGAGTGTCCAGCGATGTCATACTACAGGCAAGAGAATCAGAGAGTTAGAAGCCTCTGTCCACTAAAGAACTGTCATTGGATCCACAAGTCTTTAAGTCTTTGGTCTGTTACTGCTCAGAATTGCTCAACATATGGCCATGTTGCAGTGCAGAGAGATGAATCTGTGTTTATCAATAAAGACAAGAAAAAATTCCAGGCTCCTTCACTTCTTGTCCATCCTTGTGTGATCTCTGCTTTCTAGAAGGAGGCAGAAACTCTGATGAGGGCTTTAGGGGCTACCAAGAATTCCATTCTAAAATTTCAGGGGAAAGTTTAAAAGAATTACACACTTAGACACACACACACACACACACACTGTGGTAGGCAGAATTCTAAGGTGGTCCTCAAGATTCCTGTCCCTTGCTATATACACAGCCTAAATAATCCTCCCCTCTTCTGTGTGGTCAGGACCTGTGAATATGATGAACTATCATATATGATTATGTTATATTATGAGGCAAAAGTGGATTTGCAGATGAAATTAAGGTTACTAATCAGTTGGCTTTGAGTTGATCAAAACAGAGACTATCTGGGTGGACCTGATTTAATCACCAGCACCTTTAAACAGTAGAGTTTTTTCCTGGCTGCTAGTAGAAGGGAAAGACAGTGAGATCTGAAGTGTGGGGCGATTTGACATGTGGCTAAGATGGCCAGAACCACAGGGCAAGGCCCAAGAGTCACGTGTAGCAGTGACCTTGTCTGAGAGCCAGCATGGACTGAAACAGGGACCTCAGTTCCTCAACTGCAAGGAACCAAATTCTGCCAACAATCTGAGTCGGCTTGGAAGCAGATCCCTGCCCAGAGCCTTCAAGTAAGAGCCCAGCCTCGCTGACATCCTGATTTCAGCCTCATGAGACCCTAAGCAGAGAACCCAGCTGAGCCTGCCTGGACTTCTGAACTATAGAATTATGACTTAATAAACAGGGATTACTTTAAGAAGCTAGGTTTATGGTAATTTGTTACATAGCAATAGAAAACTAATACATATATATCTTTTCTGAACACAAAACTGAAACATACGCACTGTAGAAATTCCAGAAAAGCACAAAAAAAGTAAAAATTATCCATGGTACCATTACTCAAAGATAACGTCTGTTAATGTTTTATTTATTTGTTTGTTTATTTATTTATTGGGGGGTAATTATATATATGTATGTATTTTTTTTAATGGAGGTATTGGGGATTGAACCAGGGCCTTGTGCATGCTAAGCACACACTCTACTACTGAGCTATATCCACCCCATTAATGTTTTTTCTTGTATAAGTCCCTATGTTTTAATTTCTTTTCAATGTACGTGTAAGAGGTTGCACGTTCATACACATGCACATCTGCATCAATGTAAATTTTAACTAAAATGGATTAATGTTGACCATGTGATTTTATAATCTGCTTTTCTATTTAAAAATGCATGAGATAAATCTTTCAGTTTAAGAAACACCTTTTAAATTCTCTATCTTACAATGCACACGATGCATACAATGCAGTCCTGCCTGATGAGGAAAGGCTGGAGCTGAGAGTGGGGTGCAGCATTTTTACAGAATCTGGAAAGAAGCTTGGGAACTGAGGCAACTATAACTGGGTCAAAATGGTTCTCTGCAATCGTGGGGTTTGCCCCCCAAATTCCCTTCTCCCCTCCCACCTCCCTCTAAGAATTTTTGTGATGGCGATATAAAGATTAGAATAGACCTCACGGTGTCTGGGCAACTGCGGAGTCTGCCAAGAAAATTCTCTGTTTTAGGTCTAGGGCAAAATCTTAGGGATTACTTGGAGTGTCATGGGTCAAAGGCTTAGGAATCACCAATGGACCATCAATCAGTAACTGTCTTTTGAACATCTACCATGTGCGGAACAGTACTTTAGGTGTTGAGGAGGAATGCAATGATTTCTTTTCATGTCTATTCCTTTTTAACTGGTGGGTCCTTTGAAGGCAGCGCTGTGTCTTATTCATCTTAATGCATTTTAGTATCTATGAGTGTGCCTGGTGTGTTTATTGCCAAAATGCTTTAAGAGAGTTGGCAGGCAAGTTGAAGCGTTAAGAAGCTTTCCTTTCCCATGTGGGCTACATTCTGTTACAAATAAGCTGTTTGGAAGCTGGAAGGCTTTTTTTTTCCTCTGGGCACTCATGTGAGAATTGGTGGCTAGCCTGAGCTAGCTGACAAAAAAACCCAACCCATCACACAACTGAAACCATTATATTTAAAATTAAAAATAGAAAAATTCCTGTTAAGATGATTTTTAGGCAAAAATAAAAAGTCAGAAGGCAGTTGGGTAATTTGTGGAAGATGTGTTCCATTTCAGACATGCTGGAATTGTGCATTCGGCCGGGGGGCATCAGAGAAGAAATCTATTTCATGTCATCAGAGACGTGGCTGTCATCCCCAGGAGGGGGAAGTGCAACTGTGAAGGGCAAATGCATAGAGAGAAAGGAGAAGCGGACCCCTTCAACCGAGCCCTGGGGAGCATCCTCCCTGGGGAGGGGATGGGAGAAAGACACAGGGAGGAATGAAGAAGGCTGGGAGAGAGTGATGGCAGAAGCATCCTAACCGAGATGGCCCTGGGCATCAGAATCTATATCTCTTTCTCTTTCTTATACCACAAGCATTTCACTGCAATTGTCCCTCTAAAGGTCACCAATGATTTGGATGCCCCAAGGTCATCAGTCACCATTCTCCTTGATGGTCATGGTTAGTGTAACTCAGCACAGTCGCACAACCGCTTCTGGAACCCTACGAGCTGATTTCCAGGGCCATCCTACAGAATGGCCATCTTGCACACGAGGGGATAAGATCAGCTCCTTGAAACGGAAGTGGGTTTCTCTTACTTGGCTGAAGTGAGAGGGCTATGAATGTATTAAACTTTTCCTTTTTGACTGATGGTTAAAGTTCTTACTAATCAGATGACAACGGATGACACTGTATAAATAAATACTTGACCATGTGGTCTGCTTACAGGGTCGACCTGACCGGTTACCACAAGGGAAAAAAGTTGTTAGTTAATTATTAAACAAGTAGCAGTCGAATGAGTTGTTGGATGCTCTTTATCAAAAAGAGATACTGATAGATTCAACACTCCAGAAACATTTCAGTCCCAAACCCATCTATCATTCCGTGAGTCTACGTACCTATCGTCTACATTTAATTTTCTGCCCAGGAGAAAATAGCATCCTATACTTTTGTCAGGCAAAGGAGTTAAAGCGAGGTAGGTTGCAGACCTCCCTATCTTCTTCCCTCCTTTTTTCCCTCTTCTCCTTCCTTTTTTTCTACCCACCCCCCCATATGTGGTAAGGAAAGTGCAATCTGCAGAAGGATCGCCCTTTATCTGTGCCTCATTAGTACAGCAAAGGCTGAGAAGACACATCTAAAGGACGGGATCGGGCTTATAAAATGGTTTGCAGGCTCTGGCTCTCATCTTCCAGATGGGCTTGGGGAGTCTGCTGCGCCCAAAGTAAATAAAATGCAAGAGAGGAATTCAAAAGCCATCCAAATGGGAGCATTCCCCAGTGTTACTGTAGATCATTTGAAGTTTCCATTAAAAACAATCCTTCTGGATTATAATTATCTAGTATCTGCTCCCCAAGGATCCAAACACATTTTACAGAGAGTAATTTGCTAGTCCTCAAAACTGTCTGGGTTAAAGGAAAAAGTATATCAACGTCTCCATTTCTGTTTCTAACTCCTGGTTCTGCCATTCACCCAGCCTAGGTCCTGCTGTGACCACTGTCACATCAGACCCGACAGGGTCTCAAGCAAGCTTCTAGGGACGGGTCACAGGAGTCACTAAAGAAGAACCGCGCTGTCCTTATCAACCACCTAACATCTAGAGCATAGCTTTTTCTGAGTAGCTCAGCATTTTTCTGATCATGATTTTTCCACTTTTCAGAGCATCCCTGAATCTCTGTGGAGTCTCATATTTAACATCCAACATAAATATTACACCACAGCAGTAAAGAAAAGCCGCAACCAGCAAAGACCAATTCTAATACTTTCCTGCTTTAGAAACTTGCTTAAATGCCCTTTTGCTATATTTTCTTTTGAAAACCTCATTCATTTAGAAAAAGGTAAGACAAATGAAAACAAGTGCTGAGTTTTGGTCCAAGACACAAAAGATTTTTCATCCAATTAGAAGGATGATTTAAAATACTTTGACGGCAAAGACAGCTTTACTTAGAACAAAGAGCTATTAGCATTTTCATGAAAATATTTCTGTTTAAATTTCTGTTGGGAAGGGTAATCATTTTTTTGGAATGCTGATGATGTGTGAAATTCTAATCTCCTTCCAGACATACAAATACACCATTCTCAGGTGGCATTGCTGACAGCAGGCGGCAAAGGGTTAGAAGATAAATGTATGATTTAAAAGGTCAAGAGGCGTGGCCACAGAACTCTAGGTTGTTAGTCAACAGTCTGTAGTATTAGTTAGTTAACCTCTTTTCATACAGAAGTCAACTAAAGAGAACAATGTCCTGAAGGTCAAGGATTCTAGGCTTAGCTCTGACATTAACAAGCTTTTCGACTTAAGGCAAGTCACCTAACCCCTTCAAATCTTGTTTCTACCATGTAAATAATGCTGGTTTAGATGACCTTTAACACTGTATGCTTGTAAATCACTTAATCTTTCTGACAAGTAGGGGTAATCTCTGTTTCACCAACCCTCAGAGGGTCACTGAAAGGATAGGACAATCCATGTAATGAGCATAATGTCAACATTTGTAGTGTTCTTTATGGTTTACAAAGTGCTTCTCTGTATTTCATTTCATTTTGATTCTCTTCACAACTTCGGGGTGGGAATTATTAACATCATTTCCCAAATTAAGAAACTGATGGTTGGAGAGATGAACAGACTTTCTTAAGGTCAGAGATCTAGTGTTGGCAGAGGTGGAATCCAAACCAAGGTGCTCTGGCTCTAAATCCAATGTTTTTACTGCACAGAGATAACCACTCCCTAACTAGTCCCTCTCCCCTCCGCTGCTTCCTAATTTCTA